TTTTTTTTTTTTTTTATTTGAGCTGCTAGATTTTTCGAAGTTGTTGGTTTGCTTGGAGCTTGGAGGAGATGCAGGGGAAAGAAGAAAGGAAGGTTGGAGGGTGAAGATGAGGGCATTTAAGTAATTTTAATTTTTTTAATGTATTAACTGATTAAAAAAATGGGAGTTTTCCTTGTTGGATTTATATGTCATTAACATTTAAAAAGTTAAGTGATTTGCTGGCAAGTTAACCTGACATCTGTCATTTAACTGACGGAAGGACCATTTTGGTATCAAAAATGAAAGTTTAAGGATAATTTTGATACTTTTTAAAGGTGAAGGATAATTTTGGTACCAAAGTGTAAAATTGAGGGACTAAAATGGTACTTAAACCTAAATTGATTTATAAATCAAACTACACATTTAATGTACAGTCCACCTTATAAAACATTTTTTCGTGATTCTTTTACTATTTTTTATTTCACTTGACAAAATGGAATTAAAGTTAAAAAAGAAAGAGTTTATCTTTACATCCTTACATAATTAAAAGATCAGCACCACTTAAATCATTAAAAAATACTTAATTACTGGTGTTTTAAAGTCCAATAATTCTTTCGTTTAAGCTCAATCCTCCGACCTACTCTAAAAACCCACTAATCTACCTATCTATCCATTTATCACCAATTCCTTTATTTCTTTCCAATAAAAGCCCATCTAACCAAGCAGCCCCAATTTCATTACATAATTAAAATCAACACCACTTAAATCATTAAAAAAAAAAACCTAATTAGAGGTGTTTTGAAGCCCAATAGTTATTTCATTTCAATCCAATCCTCTGGTCCACTCTAAAAACCCACTAGTCTACCTATTTGTCTCTATCACTGATTCCCTAGTTTCTTTCCAATAAAAGCCCATCCAACCAAGCAGGCTCATTAATACTTCTCAATTTTCTCCGCAGACGTCGGGCAACTGCCTAAATCCCCTTCCAATTTTCTCCATTTTCGATTCCCTATTGTTCTTCCTTATCTACAAGTGATTGATGCCCGGCCATTGAATATTCAATTGAGTATCTCATTTTAAATATAAATAAAATGATTATACATATTTAACTTTTTGAAAGAAATTTATAAACTTAATTACTTTAAGGTAATGATGTAAAAATAATGATGTAAAAATAAACTTTTTATATCATTTTTTAATACCATTTTTATGTATCATTAAATGAATAAATACATTTAATATCATAAATTCTAAATAAATAAATAAAATCAATAATTTAAATAATACATAA